TGGAGAGGCCCCTCCCCCGCTGGTCTGTGGCCCTGCCCCGCACCCCCAGCAGCTGTGCCGGGCCTGACGTCAGCTCCCGCAGGATCTTGGGGAGCAGCAGCTGGTGAGGGCTTGTTCTTAGGGCCAGGAGGGCGGGGGGGGGGGGGGGAGGCAGAGAGGGAGCCTGTCCCATGCTCACCTATGGGGCCGCGGGGGCAGTGGTGTTTGTGTGGAGGGCGTATCTGTTCCGATGCTTTGCTGGTGCTCCTGGCCAGTCTCCTGGCCGAGGTTCTGCTCCTAACAGGCTCTGCGGCCACGCGCCCGTGTCTCCCTCGTGGCCCCCGCCCCCACGCCGACACTGCGGTCCTCCGGGCTAGGGACAGCACCCGGCAGGCCGGGGTCTGCCCAAGCCCACCCCAGTACACACCTGGGCGTGTTCCTGCTACCGACTGCCCACGCTGCCCCGCCCGAGGCCTTTCCTAGGGAAGGGAGAAATGACCCCTCTCAGCCGCAGCCTCCCCCCTAAAAGGCGGGTAGCTGGATTCTTCGAGATGTCGGTTTCACACCTGGGGCTCTGCTCAGCTCCCCACACCGCCTGCTCTCCGCGACCCACAGCTCTCAGATGAGCCTCTCCCAGACCTGCTGCCCCAGCTGCCTGCTCAGCGAGGCCCCTTCTGGAGACCCAGCCCCTCCTCCCCGGGGCGCGGCCCGCACTGGCCACAGGGAGGAGGCTGTTCGCGAAGCAGCTATGTCCACGGCTCAGTTATTTCTTGCTCCCAAACAAACTGCCCCAAATCTAGTGGCATAAAAGCACCGTGTGCCAGCATGGGTCAGGTCCGGGGCTGGACACTGTCCTGCGCGGAGCCGGGGCCCGCGGGGCCTTCGGGGCTGTGCTACAGAGAAGGGGCCACTGGGTCATCCTCATGGCGCCTGCTGCAGCCACCCTGGCAGGTGAGCACAGGGCCCGGGTTGGAGTGACCAGCAGGGTGGCCCCCTCCGACTCCGCCCAGGAGCCCTCCCGACACAGCCTCGGCTGCACGACCCAGAGAAGGTGCGGGGCCACCTCCGGAGCGGGGAGCAGGAAGGACACAGCCTTGTGTCAGCCCCCCGGGGCTCCCTGCAGCCGTGCCCCTCCATGGGAGGTCCTGGGGCTCTGCACATGCAGGTGGGGCGCAGGGGTGGTGGGCACCTGGGGAGCAAGTCACTGAAGTGTCCTAGGAGCCGCCCACCCCCTGGGGCCAAGCTCCTGGCATCAGCCTCCCTGAGGCAACTCCAGCGAGGTCCAGGCAGCTGCGGCCCAGGGCTGGAGTAAGAGCCCCAAGACGCTGCCCCTCTAGCTCCACACCGGCTATCACCATGAAGAACCGGCCAGAGCTCCCTTGGTTTGGTTTGCAAAGCACTAAAGGTTCTGTGGCCGTGGCCTTGAATCAACCCCGGCAACTCTTTCCACAGGGTCAGTTCTTTTGATCGTGGGCATGAAAACGTGGACTGGATTAAACAACAAAAAAGGGGGGGGGGTTATTGCTTCCTGTGACTGAATGTTCGAGGAGCAAATCATGGATTTTAAATGAAAGCAGAATTCTTTTTTTTTTTTCAATTTATACATACAAGAGCTGGGGTGCAGGCCAGAGGTGTGGGGGGTGAGAGGATCCCCCAGGGACAGAGTGGGAAGCAGAACAAGCAGATCTACTGAAATCTGCTGCTGAGGGGAGCAGCAGGGAGACAGGAGAGGTCTGCTGCAGTGGGATCGAACTCATGCTGCAGTAGCTGGTGGTAGCATGACAGCACTGAGACTGACCTCTGCGCCCCCAGGGAGGCCCAGAACACAGTAAGTTCTCTTACATGTTGCCCTGAAGCTGGCACTTTTCCTGTGGGGTCCCCATCCCAACGGATTCCACGTGAGGGCCCAACCCTCGCTCGCCCTGCCTGCAGCGTTTCCCTCTCAGGGCACAAAGAAAGTGTCACTTTCGTTTACTTCCTTACTCAGTGAATTTCTCCACATCTGCAGGTAACTTTCCCAGAAAGAGCAATCAGCCAGTTGCAGCAAATGCAAGGTGCGATGTCTGCAGAGCCCTGTGAGCGTGTGCTCTTTGCAGAGAGCTGTGCTTCATGTCTGCTACTGGGTGAGACCTCAGCCCTTCGAACTGTGGTGGGTTTGGGGAGAAACCAGATGCTCATCCCCGTGGTGACAGCACTCACCCCAGCATGGCCCATCAGACACAGGCTGGCCTCTGCCTAGCCCGCTGGCCCGGCCAGGCTGCCCTTCTAGGACGAGCGGCTAGTTTCCCCGACGATCACACTGTAAAAACCAACATGAGGAGAGGGCCGCGCTCGGCATGGAGACCAGCAGCCGCTATGGGCGTCCAGTCCCGGTTTGAACAATCGGGCGAAAAAAGTGATGAGACAGGCAGGAAAAGCCAAACACAGACTGGACGATCGAGCTATTGTAAAGTTTGGAGACTCACAGTGGCACCGTGGCTACTTTCAAAGTAACTATTGACTTCTGGAGACACGCTGAAATATTTCTGAGTGGAATCTGAAGATGCTGGAATTCATTTCAAAATCATCTGGGGCGGCGGGTGGGGAAGAGAAGGCCCGGCCAGCCTGGTGTGGACGCTGGACACGGGGCGTCTCCGCTTCTGTGTGCTCCTTGAATCTCCAAATAAAGAGCTTGCACAAACAAAACATCATTGCCCCAAGGAGGAGGCACCCTGGTCTCAGGCCTCGCCCCCAGGGCCAACCCCAGCCCCGCAGGGCAGCCGGGTGCAGCTGTGCAAACGCTGGCAGGCTTTCAGTGAAAGGCGGTTTTAGGTCCACACTGACTGCGTCGACCTGCCTGCTGGGACCTTGTGAAGACCCACATGACCAGTGGCGCCCACCCCCGCCCCTGGCATATGGGCCGGCAGACACCCACCGATATCAGGTCCGGCTGGGCGAGGGGTGGCCAGGCCGGGCTGCCCAGTGAGGGCAGCCTTGTGCATGGGCAGGCACAGTGTCCCTGGCAGCCTCCCGCGTGTCTGGCGGTGCTGGCTGCCCAGGGTAGCATGGCTGGGAGCAGCAGATGGGCACGCCTCGCCAGTCAGGGCCCCACCGCTGTGCCAATGAGGCTCCCCCTCGAGGAAGACGCAGACAGCAGCAGCTGGTGCCAGCTGTGCATCAGGACGGCCACAGCGCCTGCCTCCTCACCACCCTGGGCCCACAGGTGTGAGGCCTGAGCCGGCTGGGCGGGCCTCTGTCCAGCCAGAGGGGCAGGCACAGTCACTCCGTGATGCTGGCCATGTCTCAGGGCCACTGGCAGCCGTGGCAGCTCCAGGCCGCACCTGCTCTCAGAGTGGCCACCAGACTGGCTCCTGGGCGGTCCCCCGTCCTCAGGAAGGAAAAGCCTTTCCAGGACCTTCAGTGGCTCTCCCACTCATTGGGCCCAGCCGTGTCACTGGCTGTCACTGGCTGGCTCTGGCCACACTGCAGGAAGGTGAGCCGCCCTGTGGGGGGCATGGAGGGGCCCAGGGCAGTGGCCATGAGCAGCGAGCGCTGTCCTGCGAGTCCCTGCTCAGGGTCTGCCTTGCACTGGCTGGCATGGGCCCTATTAGCTGCTCCCCATCAGTCCTGCCTGAGGACGTGCAGCCAGGAGGCCTGGCTCTGCGTCGCTCCACGGTCAGTGGTGTGCACAGAGCGACCACCCCATTTGCCAAGCCCCGGGCACAGGTGTGCAGCAGATGGTCCCGGCCTCAGGGCCACACAGGCTGCGCCGGCATGTGAAAGCTAGCATAGCGCTTGCCACGGCCCCAGCTGGGTCTGGGGTGGGGACAGGGAAGCCCCTGGGAGACGGTGCTGCCTGGACAGTGGCTCCACTGACCAAAGGGTGAGGACCAGTCAGGCACCTGTCACAGCCTCAGCATTTCACCACTGAGCTGACCCATCTTCACCCCTGGGAGCTGCTGCTGCTCCAGAAGCCCAGCAGGCCAGTGGGAGGCCAGGGGCCAGCATTGCTACCCACCCCGGCCCTCTGCCCACAAGTTCTGCTGACACTTGGCCTGGCCGGGCGGCGTCTTTCCCGATGCAAACTTGCCATGGTCTGGGGTTCAGGCCCGTGGGGCACCCGGCCAGGACTGTCCACACATCCGGTCCGCAGGCTGCGGGAGCTGCAGGCCCGATTTGGCATCAGGCCTCCCTGCCCACCAGCTCCAGGTGTAAGTGGGGTCTTGGGCTGGGGCTCCCAGGAGCAAAGTGGGCTCCTGGTGTGGGGGTTCAGGTGAAGGGGCCTCAATTATGCCACTACCTGTCCTTGGGGTGCAGATGCCTGGGGATCGCCCCAGCTTACCCGCTGGCCAGCACGGCGTGGCGGGGAGGGGTGTGGGGGGCAGCATAAAGGCCCAGGGGTCGGCCTGGTGGGGCGCAGAGTGGGAGTAAGCTCCCCGGGGACTGGGGCTGCAGGCTCAGGGGAGCCGCTTCCTGTCTCCCCATGACAGCACTGGGCTCTGCTGGGACACCTCCTGACTCAGATTCTGAAGCCAGGCTGTGTGGATGTCTGTCCCTCAGCGGGTTGTGCCTGGGAGGCGACTTGGGGGAGCCACTGTCCTTGCCGCTCCCATGGCCCCGGGGTCCAGCTGGCTTGGCCAATGGGCAGAGCAGGCTGATAGGGGAGCCCCCCCAGGGTCCAGACCATGTGCCTGAGCGCTTGGCCCCGCCCCTCTCTGCTGCAGTCCCTGGGCCTGAGAGCACACTGCTGGCCTCTTCATCCCGTCCAGGCAGGTGCCCCCTGAACATCCCTTGTCTGAGCTCTTCTCCATGGGCCCTCAAATGTACTTCCCTGCTGGGATGCACCAAGTGCCAGCTCACTCCATCTTAGAGCCAGGAGGTGGGCCCAGCCCACACCTCCACCTGCCCCCCAAGCCCAGGCGGCTGGGAGCAGGAGCCAGCCAGGGAGCCAGTCCAGGAGGGGAGCCTTGAGAGGTGTCCAAGCAGTTTATTGGCGCAGGGGGAGGACAGACGCAAACCGTGGGGCTGGGGGGGGGGGGGGCGGGGCGCACTGCGAGGGAGAGGGGCACGGACGGGGCTGGGTCCGGGACACGCGTGCCCCTGCAGGAGGAGCGGCCCCTTCACTCCCGCACATAGATTCTCGTGCAGACCACGTCGTCGGCGCCGAAGGTCTGCAGAGGAGAGAAGGCAGAGGCGGCGCTGCCCCAGCGGCGCGGAGCGAGGTCCCGGCCAGGGTTTTTTAAATGGACGGGCGTGGGGGGCGGGGCTCGTATTGGACGATTCTGTCTCCAAACCATTCCGGGGGGAGGCGGGCGCTGGAGCCGGGCGTGCCCCGCTGGACGAGCGCGGGGAGGTCACGCGCCACCCCAGGTCACCGCCAGCCGGACGGGGGCTCACCAGCAGCCCCCCGCGGGCCCCAGGGCGGCGGGACCCGGACGCCCCGCAGACTGGGGTGGGGCCGGCTCTGGCCCTGCAGGGCCGAGGCTCCGGAGAAAGGCGGCGGCCGCGGCTCTGCCCAGGCCCGGGCGTGGGGACACCCCGGGCGCCCTGGACACGAGCCCGGCCGCGCCTTCTGCTGGAGCTCCCGGGACGACCCCCCGAGCCCGCCTGCGCCGGCCCCTCGGCCCGCTCTCCCCTCACGGGCCCCGGCCCCCACGGCCGGACCACGGGCCCCTGGCCCCGACGCCGTCCCCGCGCGGCCTGCGGGCTCCGGGCCGGGCGCTCACCAGGATGAGCTCGTCGTTGGCCAGCTCACGGGTCCAGTAGGTCTTGGGGCCGTCGCCTTCGAGCAGGGTCTGTGTGCAGCGGAGCTTGTTCTCGCTCTCCCAGGTGGCCAGGCTCTGCGGGCGGACAGCGGGAGACGCCGTCGGGGGACAAGGGCGCGCGGGGGGCGGGGCCAGGGGCGGGGCGCGCCGGAGGGCGGGGCCAGGGGCGGGGCCAGGGGCGGGGCGGGTCCGGGAGGAGTGGGGCGGGTCTGGGAGGGGCGGGGCCCGGGGCGGTGGGGGGGGCGGGGGGGCAGGGCCAAGGTGCAGAGGGTGGTGCGGCCTGCACACGCGCACACTCACCGCCTGCACACACACACTCATCACACGTGCACATACACACTCATCACACGTGCACACACATGCACATATGCACACACTCATCACAAGTGCACACACGCGCATGCACACAGCACGTGCAGCAGTCACACACGCGCATGCGCACACGCAGCCCCCCGCGCAGCAGTAGAGACGAGGTGCCTTTCCCATCCCCGGCACCCAGGGGCGAGCGTGCCATGACTCACGGCGACGCAGTGGCTCACTCCTCCCAGCAACTGGAAGTGCAAAGTCCAGACCCCTCACGCCCCACCTGTGCTGTCTGGAGCAGCGAGAGCCTCCCTGCAGGCACCCAGCGGCCAGGGCTCGGAGGACGCCCTGCCCGTGCTGGCCCCGCGGGATCCCTCCCTCCAGAAATCAGGCAGGGACAACCACGTCTGGAGGCGGGAGGCGGAGGTGGAGGAGGCCCTGCAGGCCTGGGTCCGGGCAGGCAAAGCGCGTGGCTGTGGCCTCCGGGCGGGCGGGGACCATGAAGCACCTGGCGCTCGCTGTCACCAGGCCAGCCAGGCGGCCCACTGCTGCCAGCACCTTCCTCAGAACCGCCCAGGAGGCTGGGGCCTGGCGCCGCCAGGCGCTCCCTTCCTTCCCAGCCCTGGACCGCTGCCTCCACAGACATGGCTGTGGCCGGGGACCCAGGCCCACCAGCTCAACCCTGGACGCCAGGTCCAGGAGAGGCCAACTCGGGGTCAGTAGCGCTGTGTGGTCAGCCAGCTCCTGGGGGCCGTCTCTGTCCCTCTCCAAGGCCAGTGAGTGTCCCACTGGACCTCAAACAACCTCACACTCTCAGAACGTGATCACTTTTCCTTCCTTTTAGACACTCAGGAGAGAAAGGGACCTATTCTGTCACTTTCAAAATAAGAGGCAGGGGCCTCCCTGGTGGCGCAAGGGGTTAAGCACCGCACTATGAAGCAGTCCGCAGCCTCTGCAGCACCAGTTCGATCCCCAGCCAGGGAGCAACCCAAACAGGGCGCAGCAGACCTCTCCTGACTCGCCCGCTGCTCCCCTCAGCAGTGTATTTCAGTAGATCTGCCTGTTCTGTTCCCCACTCTGTCTCTGGTGAATCGTCTCACCCCCGCATCTCTGGACAGCACCTCAGTTCTAGCATACATAACATAAATAAATCTTTAAAAAAATAATAAAAAAATAAAATAAGTGGCAGCAGCAGCGGTTATTTCTCCAGCTGCCCCAACTCACAGGAGCCGCCAGCCCCCCACTCTGCTCCTGCGCGCATGCCGACCTGTCAAGGCCGCCTGGGAGATCAGAAAGGGGGTCCACCGGCTCATTCGGGGCCCATGCACCCCAAATACACAGATCCAGCCCTTGGAGACTGAGTGAGGCTGAGTCCATTTTCCCAGAACCCGCCTTGCTCTGGGCAAGATTCCACCGTTCCTTTAAGGAACCAGGCGCGGGAGGCGGGAGGCGCAGGGCCATCCAGGCTGCTGAAACTGGATCTGAAGCTCCCGGGGCCCAGGGACACGGGGGCGGGCGAGGCTGCCCTCCACCTGCGGCAGCAGACGGGCGGGGCGCCGCAGCCCCGGCTCGCTCACCCCTGCTCGGGCTCCAGGCTCCACCCGCGCCGGCCCGCCCGGGGTCGCCACAAAGGCTGCGGCAGCCTGGGCTCCGCCCGCGCGCGCACTTGGCACCTGGGGAGCTGGCGTGGGGATGGGGCCGGGAAGGTGTGGGTGGGGCTTCCCCCAGCGGTGCCACCCGTGGCGCGACCCCTGCCGTTGGCAGCCGCGCCGCCCTGCAGGGTCGCGCCCGCAGGCTGCGGGGGGCGGGGGGCGGTGGGGGCGCAGCGGGGGCGCAGCGGGGGCGCAGCGGGGGCGCAGCGGGGGCGCAGCGGGGGCGCAGCGGGGGCGCGGATGCCGAGCTAGCGCCGCGGCTCTGGGGCCTCACCCTGCACTTGCGTCCGTCCACCGTTTCCTCCTCAAAGCCTTCTCCGACCTTGAAGCTGATCTCGGTGGTGCGCACCGTGGTGGACGTCTTGATGTAGAACCGATCCCCGTCCTGGCGGATCTCCACGTGCGGCTTGGACGCCGCGGCCACGGCCACTTTCCTCAGCATGGCGTTCACACCTGCGCGGGAGGGCGCGCGGCCGGCTCGCGGGGCTGGCGGCACCGCTGCCGCCTCGGCCAGGTTTGGGGAGGGGAAGCCGGGGTCCCGCAAGGGCTCGGAGGGGGCGGAGGGGCTTCCCCGGCAGGACCTGGTTTCCAACTGAGCGCCGAGATTTACTGCCCCGGACGCGCCCTGGAATCCGGTCCTCATCCCTCCCTGCGGCGACAGGTCGGGAGGCACCGGCCGAGCCGTCGGGGAAGGGCGCGGGCGCGGGGTCCACGCGGCCCCGAGGTGGGGTGCGCCCGGGAATTCGCCGGGATGTCTCAGCCCGACCCCGCGGCCCGCGGCTGACCCCCAGCGCCCACCCGGCGGGCCCGGCACCTCCCGCGGGGGTGGCGGTCCGCGAGCTCACCCAGCGCCTTGAGGAGCTCGTCGAAGTTCTCGCTGCTGCGCATCTTCCAGGTGCCGGCGAAGTTGGGCATGGCGGCGGCGGCGCGGACGGCGAGCGGCGGCAACTCTGCGAGCCGGGCGGACACTGCGCTCCGAGCCCTGCGCGCGCCCAGAGTCGCGGCGACAGCGCCCCCCGCCCCGCCCCGCAGCCCCGCCCCCGCCCGCCCCCCGCCGCCCGCGCCCCGCCCGCCCCGCGGGGCCCGGCCCTGGCGCTCGAGGCGCGGGAGGCGCCAGCGGGACCCCGGGCGCCCCCGTCCCCGCCAAAGTGGGTGACGGCCGTTGCTTGGAGCAAACGTTGGCCGGGAGCGGGGGAGTGGCCGAAACTAGGCGGTGGCCACTCAGGAATACCCGCGCCGGCTCCCCACCTTTGTGCGCTCTGAAGGTGCCCGAGCAGACATTAACGCGAAGCGGGTGGCGCCCCCGGGAAGGAGCAGTCGCGCCTCTGGGTGCCCTGCAGGTCCCCTCCCCGCCCGCGTGGAATCCCACTCATCGCCACCCCTGCCAGGGGATGGAGGGGGGGGCAGACCCCGACCCCCACCCACCTGCCTCGGGGCCCACACCCGCCAGGACGGGACTCTGGGTCCGTGCCTGGTGCTCCCAGCGGCTTCGGTGCTCCCAGCTGGCTTCGGAGCCAACAGCCGGCATGAGCCTTGCTGTTGGCAAGGAGGGGGCGGCTCCCTCAGTGACCACAGTGGCTGGCCCCAGCCCTTTCGCCGCCCCTCCCTCGGGCAGCAGAGCCTTCCCAGGTGACTGCCTGGGGGCTCCGGAACCCCTGCCCACTGCTGCCCCAGCCCTCCTTGGGCCGATGGGCAGGTCAGTGCGCATTGCCTCTCTCCAGTGCCATACAGCCTCCTAATTAACTCCGTGTTTCTCTCCAGGCCACAGCTACCCGTCTGGCCCTGCTCTGGCTGTCTCACCCCTGCTTGGCCTGAGGGCCAGGCCAAGCACTGCTTCCTCACCTGTGCGCAGCCGGGGCACCCCTCTGCAGGCCCCCAGGCGGTGTGGGCGGCTCTGCCAGGACCCGAGGGCTGGGCCTCCGAGCGCCTCCAGAGGGTCTGGCGGCTTGTCCCGCCATCTGGATATTCTGAGCCATTTTGGACACTTCATTCAGCACCATGGCCCCCCAAAGAGGGGGGTGCTTGACTAGAGGACAGTGGGGTCTGGTCCGGCACAGAGCGGAGGAGCAGGCCCAGGGAGGGGCGGGTGCAGTGCAGCCCTGCGTGAGACGGCCAGGCCTCCCGGCACTGCCCTGGGCTCGAAACCCACTGGCAACCGGGACAGGCGAGGGGCTGCCTTCTCAGCAGCCCCAGCTCCTCCGGAATCCCAGGGGTTCCCTGGGAACCCCAGAGCCGAGGGGGCAACAAACCAACCCTCCATGGCGATATCCCTGTGTCCCCGGGTCCAATCCAGAGCAGCCCTGCCGGGCAGCGCTTACCAACCCTCACACTGGGGCAGAGTCCCCGCCGTCCGCTTCTCTTCCTCGGCCTCCCGCTCACCGCTCAGCTGGGGGCTGTGGCCTGGTAGGGCCCCAGAGGCCACTGCTAAAGCGGCGGCAATGTGGGGAGTCTGGCTGCCCCTGAGGGGCGCTGCTGCCCCGGCGGCCTGGGAGCATGGCTGGGAGCAGCGGTGGAACCAGAAGTCCCTGTTGCCCCTGGGAGGTGGGGCCGGGGTGACCCCCAGGTTTCTGAGCAGCGCGCCGGGGGTCTCCTCTGCTGCTCTGGGCTGTTCTACTTGGGCTGTGTCGGCTGTGAGTTGTCCGGCAGGCGGTGGGCAGATGGTGGGCAGGCGGTGGGCAGGCAGTGGGCATGGGGCCCTGGAGTCCAGGAGCGAGGCCTACCTGGAGATGGGGTGGGGGGGTCATCCATGTGTAGGAGCAGCGTGGACGAGACTCCAGCGTGGGCGAGACACCCAGGGCAGGACGGGGATGGGGAAGGTCAAGGGGGAGCAGAGAGGCTTAGCGCTCGGGGGGCACATGGAGCAGGGACCCCCGGAAGCGGGGCGGGGTGGGGTCAGCAGCTGCTCGAGGCCACCTGTCCCCAGAGTGAGCAGGTGGCGCAGGTGCCTCTGGCCAGGGCAGGCTCGGGGGTGGAGGCAGAGGCGACAGGAAAGGCAGGAGACGGGGGCACGGATGGGCTGGGGGTGGGGGACGCTCTGCCGAGCAGCCGCGGAGGCTGGGGCCAGCCTCGGCCTCTCCCCGTGAGGGTGGAGGTGCACCTGCTTCAGGACTTGGTGCCCTCCTGAGGTGGGAGGTGGGGGGCGTGAGAGCCCTGCGGAGAGGGCCCCGGGCGGGGAGGGCTGGGTAGAGGAGGAGCAGTCGGAGGGGCTGAGGGGCCAGCGTGAGTCCGGCCAGCGGGAGGGTGCGGGAAGCCGAGGCCCTTGGGACCTGTCCAGGGTCCGAGGTGTGTTGAGGAGCTTAAGGGGCATCTGGCGGCGCTCCGGGCCTGCCAGGCAGTCTGTGTGAGCCCCGCGGGGCTATGTGCAGAGCCCACGCTGGGCAGTCCCGCAAGGGCAGCCTGTGCCACAGGAGGCTGTGAGGGGACTGGTGGGTCCCCAAAGCCCGAGTGGGGGCATCGAGGAGGGTGGGGACAGCCCAGGGAGGCCAGGGTGGTGTCTCCTGTGTCCAGGATGCTATGCTTGAAGAGGGCAGACCAAGACACATCCAGAAAGCAGGGTCAGCAGGCGGAGGCAGCCTGGACGCTGGATGAGCAGGAGAAGGAGGACTCGTGCCAGGCTCCTGACCTGCAGGTGCGGGAGCCGGGGGGCCGGGTCTCGGACAACCCCACGGGGGCCATGGGAGCAGGGCAGGGGCAGGCAGGGGCATCTGGCATTGGGCCTCCCGGAGAGGCCGACTGGGGTGGACGCTGGAGGGTTCCACTCCCAGGCAGACGGACGCGGCCACAGGGGCCCGTGGGCAGGGCTCCGAGGGGACACGGGGCACGGGGCTGCGGTGGCCTCGTCTTGGGGCCCAGGCGCTGGACCAGAGCCGGGCGGAGGGGTCCGCGGTGGGGAGGGCCCTGCTGGCTCCCGAGGTAGATTTCTCAGGGGTGGGAGTCCAGGCCGGGCCCTCTCCTAGACTCTGTGTCCTCTGGCCGGCAGCTTATGCCTCACAGACCCTTTGCCAGCTCCTCCCAGGTCGCTGCCCTGCGCCCCGTCCAGGGCCTTTCTGCCGAGCGCGGCTCCTGGCCAGTGTGGCTCGCGGCTGGCCCCTGCCCTCGGGCAGGCTGGTTTCATGCTGGAAGAATGGGGGTCAGAGTTCAGTCCCTGAGAACCCAGGACTCTAAAGAGGGCCCAGCGGGGTGGTCAGGATGGCTCTCCGTCGTGGGGGCTGGGCCGCCCTGCCCAGCCAATTCGGGCCTCGGCGGAACAGGACAAAGGGGCTAGGCTCCCGGGGACGAGCCCGCCGGACAGCACTGGCCTGTGTGGGGTGAGGGTCTCCAGGCTGGTGGAGTGGGGGGTGGCAGGTACTGGGGGCCTGGAGTCCCACCCTAGCGTAGGACAGCAGATGGACCCTGGCTCCACCGCAGACCCGCCGGCTGCCTCAGCAGCCAGGGGTGGACGCCAGGGGCACCTGGGAGCCCAGGGAGGCTCAGTGGACAGGCACGGCGCTGCGGCCGAGGGAGTATCCGGCCATGTGCCTGGCACGGAGGCCGCCCCACAGCGGGGCCACAGAGTCTGCCTCCTGACCGCCCAGTGACAGGGCCACGTCCAGGCTCCAGGAGTCCCAATCTCAGGCCCTGGGGCTCCAGCTGGGAACGGGCTGGGGTCATCAGTGCTCCCTGACACCTCCGGGGCCCTCTGGGGCGCGGCAAGGACATCAGGGTCGGCGGGTTGAAGGCAAGTCCCGGCCCGGCCTGGCGTAGCCCAGCTCAGGACGCCTGCCTGAGGCCCGGGGCTGGCTGCCTCGGGTGCCCGTGTCTGTCCTGGGCGTGCAGCCGATATGTCAGCCAAAGGAGCGCGGTTAAATGACAAAAGAAAATTAAAAGCAAAGGAAAACTCCTGATCACACACAAAGTACATTTAAGTTTCTGTAATGACGAGGAAAACATGGCACAAAGCTGAGGACAAGGGGGAGCATGTGGTGCGAGACGTCCGCGAAAACCAGACCTGCCGGCGCTGAGCCTCGTTGGGGAGGTGCTGTCCACCGCGGCCTGCGGGCCGCCCTGCGCGGGTGTGGGCCCGGTGTCAGCTCGCCCCTGTCAAAGGTCTCTCGAGCAAACAGCAAAGCTGAGGGCCAGTGTCAGGCGGGCACCCCCCAACCCCAGGGACGGCGTCTGGGGCCAGCCTGCGGGAGCATGCCTGGCGCAGCCACTGTCCCCATGGCCCGCTGAGCTCGGACCGCAGGGACAGAGGAGCAAGCCAGGGCCGCCCTCAGGGCCCGGGACAGGCATTGCAGGGGCTCTCCAGACGAGGGGCTGAGGCTCGACACACCCGCGGTCGGCCCCTGTGCCCGCCCAGCCCTGGGGTCCCTCGGCCGCCAGCCTGGCCCAGCCTTCTGCGGGCGGAGCAGGACCCGGCACCGGGTGGCTGGCGCTCTGTGGGGCCCTGGGGGCCTGCCCCGCATGTTGCCTGTGCTCATCAGTGTGATTTATGCCCGTGCTGGCACCTCTGGGGCGGCAGGCGGGGGACGGGAGCCGTGATTTATCAGAAAACATGGCGACTGCGCCAGGCCCCCCTTTCATGGGGAAAAAAACAGGGGGATCGCAGGACGGCCCCAGCCCACTGCTGACTGCCCAGCGTCCACCTGCTGCCGGCCCTGGGGGCCAGCTGCTCTCACCAGGGCCCTCAGGGTGCCAAATGGCGGCTCTGGGCCCTGGGGAGCGCCCCGGCCATCCGTCACCCCCACCAGGGCCTGTGAGAAGGCCAGTGCGGCCAGTCACGGTGCTCGGTCGCCGTCAGGGTTCAGCGGCTCCCAGAAGCGAGGACGCCCGCCTCGTCCCCTCGCCAGCCAGGCGCATCCAGGACAAAGCCCACCGGGTGGGCGGGCGGGACAGCTGCTGAGGCTGCCCAGATGTCCAGCTTCTCCGATCGATGAGGCAGCTGAGTGAGCCACCTGGGCCCGGGCCGGGGCTGCTGCCCGCCCGGGAGGG